GAAGATAATGAACATGTAAAGAAGATAATGAACAAGTAAAGAAGATAATGAACATGTAAAGAAGATAATGAAAAAGTAAAGAGGGTAATGAACATGTAAAGAGGGTAATGGACATGTAAAGATGGTAATGAACATGTAGGACAGTGAACATGTCAAGATAATTATGAACATTTAAAGAAGAAAATGAATATGAAAAGAGGATAATGAACATGAAAAGAGGATAATGAACATATAAGAAACTCACCGGTTTTTATAATATACCCGAGCTGTGATATTTTAGTGTTGTTTCTTCAACAGACAAGCTGGTGAAAAGATTTAACTATATGTATTAAATAACCTTACTGTAACAGTAGATATATTAATATTCATTGTATATCAACGGTAACAATATACGAAACTACTTATTACACACACGAACGTAGTTAAAAAACCATTTTGAATCACCACAACCTCGACTTAATAAGTCGAATTATTAAAAAGACCCAATATTCCAGCAAAGTCTTCATATCACATTTAAATCCATTTCTAAACCTTAATATATGATTTGAAGACTGACTAGAAATATAATATCCCTTAAGGTGGGTTTATACAGAGCGCGAACGCGAACGCGAACGCGACCGGCGCGAAGTGATTAAAAATGGCTGTGAACTGCGCTCGTGTGTTTTTCCATGTAAAAAACATTGATAGTTTCGTTGGGCGTACGACAGATTCACACTGGAAACCATTCAAGTATTTTTGCAGTCTAATTAATTTTCAGGCAAGTGAAATTCTGAATATTTTTGTAGCTATGAAGACTATATACAAATATTTTAGGCGAAAATCGACCCAAAAAATGGCGAACTATGCTACTGGTATACTACCTCTAAGGATGAAACTTAACATTTTAAAACTTGGTTAAATGAGTCTTTGTCGTATCAGTAGACCTGGTGTCAAAATTATACAAAAGAATCTAAAAGAGGAAAACAGGATAATGAACATGTACTGATAAAAATCCGAACAAGCTGGAAATTTGGTTAAATCTCGTCATAAGAATGGCAAATTAGGGAGTAAAAGTAGTATAGTGTGGACTCCTCCAAATATACACCACAGGTGTTTCAGAAAGAGTAAGCATAGTCGGCTTCGTGTGAGACACCCGCCTCTACTAAATAATATATCATTAGTGTTTCTAACACCAGGGTGTTTACCGCCTCAAACTTCCCTTAAGAAATTTTAGGCCGCCATTATGAACTATACAAATACAATACAAAATATCAGTTTTTACTTTCATAGCAGATGTTTTTGTTGATCGATCAAGTTTAAACTTTGTTATACAGGTAACGTAACATGTTGTAATAACAATATTATGTCGAGTTGGCACCAGATGTTTCTGTAATTTTACATAACACTAGGTTTTATTTTGCCTCCCTATTTTATATGTAGTATTTAGCAGCAATGAATGGTTTGGTTCAAGGCAGGATATGCTTACTCTTCTGATCATTTGATGCCACTTTCATTATTTAAAGTTTCCTCATGGATTCGTTTATTTGTAACATTTTTTCATTATTAAGATATAACAATTATTGTGATCAGTTCCCTCCCTTGACTATCAAATGGACCGAGTCCATTGAAACATTTTATGATTTTTATTTTTAGACATCCCCTTTCTCCCTTTCTTCCTTTCAGAGTTTTTTCTATGCCTAGTTTTGACTAATTTTTGGTCTAGATTTGGATTTTATGTTTGAAGCTGCATTTTCTTCCGTTTTCATACGGAATGATAATTCTAAAAATAGTCGTTTTGTGTGCAGTGACAGTCAAGCAGATGTTGATAAAATGTAGAAGTCTACTTTCATTTTGATAAGCTCGAGATTTTCATGGTCATTATATATTAAATTTTTGTACAGAAACTAAGTATTGGGCAGGCTTTCATATGACCTTTTGGAAAGTTTTCATCGAGATATCTGGAAAAATTTATAGAAGGTTGAATTTCGTGTTGGAAAGAAATGGCTAATGAATTACTAATTAAGTCCTAATTAAAGGAATATATTTTCATCAGTTACGTCCCTTGAACTTTTAAGATTCATCATTCAAGTAGCAATTTTTAGTAGTATCTGTTGTGTATATTCTTCTATACACCTGATACAACTTATTATGAAAAAATTACTAACTAAGGATTGATATACTTCTTCATGTAAAAGTTCTAAAACTGCTACCAGTGTTTCGTAAAATGATGTTTATTTATTTTGGGTTTCGATTTGCGGTTCCGATCGTTGATACATTTTTTTATTTATCCTATAGGTGCATCAACGAATATTATTGGTACATCATGTTATTGGTACATCATGTTATTGGTACACCATGTTATTGGTACATCATCTTGGTGGTACACCATCCTGTAGGTACACCATGTTATTGGTAAATCATCTTAGTGGTACACCATCCTGTAGGTACACCATGTTATTGGTACATCATCTTGGTGGTACACCATCCTGTAGGTACACCATGTTATTGGTACATCATCTTAGTGGTACACCATCCTGTAGGTACACCATGTTATTGGTACATTGTTTAATGGTACATCATATTGTATGAAAGTACAAGTGCAAAAGTAACTCAACCCTATGCTATAATATATATTTTGTCTGTCGAAAATTGTAAACATAGTATAAAATTTATCAAAATGTCTTTCATTGCCGAATCATGAAAAACAATGATTGTACTGACTGTTCTGCAATCAGAAATGAAATGAATGGAGTTTTACGTCCTACTTTTCTGCACCGTGTGGGATAATGAAGACGGGCAACGCCATTCAGATACATTATTATATATAGAGATAGTAAGTATACTGATTATCGTATTTAAATGAAATAATTGAGTTGTTAGGCAATCGTAAGATATTTTCGAGTTGATGAACCCAGTCGTAAAGGATATACAGAGAAAGGACAATTTGACATTTCGTACCGTCCGATCCTTGCTTTGTATCTAAGACCACTTAACCTATAATAAGGTGACCACTTTATTTCTGAAGTATTTGTTGATTTAGCGACTAAAACCAAATGACCAGATGTCGAGCGAGTTGCAATCTGCTATACGCAGATCATTAATACGATTTATTACACCTTAATCTACTCATTGATTGACTTTCTCGCTTTTATCACCTTTAATCTAATATGGCGGCTTACCGTCAGATGGACTTTTCGCGACATTATTAAACGTGACGATTTGACGTTGCTTAGCACTATTGGTGTCAATTTCGGAATGATTAGCACAGCAAAAGAGACATTTTACCAAGTTCACTGCACTTATTAGACACAATTTTGGTGTGTATAAGTATTGATAAAGTCAGTAAGATGCTATAATATAACCCGGGACAAGTGCAAACACCGACCTTTTCACACTGAAAAATGAAAATACAAGAAGTTATCTCAAAAGCTAGAATATCTCGGATCTTTCAAAATGAAAATAAATTAGAAAGCCATTGTACAGTGTAATGTTTTTCCAAAATGCACAGCGTACTTAATACGGTGCCTCGGATTTCAGCCACCAAGACTCGATGTACCAGCAGACTATAAGCTGGATTCGACATAAAAAAATGATTAATATGATTATGATAAGTACTGGAGGAAATCAAAAAGAAGTCTTCTTGTAAAAAAAACTCATCTTGGTCAAAACAGTAAAAAGAAGTAACAGTGAAATGTCTAATAACTGACTTAACGCTTGGATTTTTCACGTTGAAACTTTCACGAAAGGTAAGGATCACCTTGCTCTACGTGTTGGCTTGGAGAATTATGTATTTCACGATAAAAACCACAAAAACTCATTGAAAAAAACGGTCTAGCCCTTTAAATAGATTGACTAGACGAAATTCAGGCAGGCACGACCAAAGAGAAAATAGCTTCGGAACTTAAGAGCATTCTTCTTATTGTCCATGGGGTATATGTATGTTTTTTCTTTTCCCTTTGTTCATAATGTCAATGAGCACTGTCTCGAGTGGTCTGTTGTATAATCGGTACTAATGGAGCAAACAGTTTTCTATATAGATTATATATTCCGGGCAAATGAGTCGATAAATTTGTAGCAAGGTTTGTCGTTATAGCGGAAGCATAGATGTACCTACTTGTAAAAGTTGTATAATGTTACTACAATGATATAGAAATACCACTGTTAAAATAGTGCTCAATACATCAATTGTAGAGCTATATAGAAATACTACTGTTAAAATAGTGCTCAATATATCAATTGTAGAGTGATATAGAAATACCACTGTTAAAATAATGCTCAATACATCAATTGTAGAGCTATATAGAAATACTACTGTTAAAATAGTGCTCAATATATCAATTGTAGAGTGATATAGAAATACCACTGTTATAATAGTGCTCATTACATCAATTGTAGAGTGATATAGAAATACCACTGTTATAATAGTGCTCAATACATCAATTATAGAGAGATATAGAAATACCACTGTTATAATAGTGCTCAATACATCAATTATAGAGAGATATAGAAATACCACTGTTATAATAGTGCTCAATACATCAATTATAGAGAGATATAGAAATACCACTGTTATAATAGTGCTCAATACATCAATTATAGAGAGATATAGAAATACCACTGTTATAATAGTGCTCAATACATCAATTATAGAGAGATATAGAAATACCACTGTTATAATAGTGCTCAATACATCAATTATAGAGAGATATAGAAATACCACTGTTAAAATAGTGCTCAATACATCAATTATAGAGAGATATAGAAATACCACCGTTAAAATGTTGCTCAATATATAAATTGAAGAGAAATATTAATAAGTTGCCAGTAGAAACCTCCATACATAAAAACCAATGCAATTAGTTACAACATGTTTCAGGTTCTGTTTTAATATCAGAAATATCATAGAAATAGAAATATTAAAGCAGAACAGATCTTTTGTTCAGAACAGTAGGATGTAAAACACAATTTCCATGATAATCAAATAGCACTGGGGAATAACAAACTAAATCTTCATTTAAATCTCGCTAAAATAATAACAATAGTGGTGTATTAGAGCTTTAATTCTTCCAAACAAAACAAAATTTAAAATAAATAACAAAATAATTACATTGATTAGTTATTCAATCATTGTATATCCTATTTAAATACTATAGTCAGTAAAAACCTTATACGGTTTGCTGATTTAAGATCCACCGCGAAGCCTGGAGCAGTTCGTACATAAAGTAGTGACGGCGCCAGAGGACACCAAGGAGGGGGGGGGGGGGCATTTGTCAACTCAGTAATACAGCTTGTACTCCTTATCATATATGAGAAATTTCAAAATGTGATTTTTATATCTTTTTCCCCAAATATGTTATATGTTTTAATTAATTAACTCCCCCCTTTATTTGTACCTTAATTTCCGAGAGTGTGGCGCCGCCATTGAGGTAAAGTCTGGTCAGCATGACCGAGTGTCGCCGTGATATAGTACAATATTATGTGAAATAAATATTCGAATGACATAATAATTATTAGCCATAGTGACTGGTGTAAGCTGGGGTTGGGTAAATATATTTCACCGACATAGCTACAGATATGTGTATAAAATGAACCCCTAAATAGAACATAGAGGTAAGTCATTTACTAGTTTGTGTACGTAAGTTTGGTTCAAACTGAAAGACATTTCAAGTCGTTCAGATACTTCTGGAAAAGATCTTCCCCGGGCATCAGACAGACTACAGTCCTATATTAAAAAAGAACAGTTTTATATTTCACAACCAAAAATAAAATCTAAAATGTGTTGTGTCTAAATCACGCACTTAAAAGATAACAATGAGACGAAGTTTTATTATATCGAAGTTTTTACGAGCTCGGTTCAGTTTGTGCTTGAAATAATTTTTCAAATTTCAACTCTAAAGTTTTTTTGTGACGTTTTAATTTATGTTGACATTCTTGTTTTGCTCCTAATAAAAACACTTCGACCTTCGTTTTCCAGATACAATCTAGAACTGTTGATACGATCTGTCACTAGTTCCATGCTGAAGGTCGTGGAATCATCAGGAATGTCTTTGAGTCTTTGAAACCATTTAGATTTTAACACTTCATCAAATGAAACTGAACTGAAAGTAGAGAAATGTAGATGTTATAATAAGTGTTAAAGCGAAATAGATAGAAGCCTACAAACCTTACTCGAATAAACAACATAAGCAATGTGGAAGATATCGGGTGCTCTAAAAAAGTGGATCATCCAAATTAATTGGATGGTCAATTATTTGGACTGCTCAGGTTGCAAACTGTCTACCTTGAAAGTTTTGTTAGCGCTCTGTAACATATAACAGGTGAGTAGCTGTAGGAGGCTAATGTCCGCCGCTCTACGAAAAACGGATTGCACTCCCACCCACGAAAAAAAAACTGCCGGCCGATCAACATCATCACTGTAACACCATATTCTATTGCCCCTCCGAATAATAAAGTCTAGCTACGGGCCTGGGGCTAAATGGCAGCTATAGTTTGGTGTTACTATGTCCTGATTGCGTGTTCACTTGAACCTTGTGTTTTAAAAATTGGCTGGTAGTCATTCCACTTGGACAGGTCTCCTGGCGTTTATGTCATTTTCTAATCAATGAATACATAACTCACAGTCTAATAAAAATAAGACCAAACTTTCGTTCTGTTTTTGATTGGCTTTTATTTTTAATACAGTCAGGGTTTAAAGACGGCCTTCTTAAACAGTCGTCCGTTTTATGATACCGCCCGCCATGGTCCAACAAAATAAAAACTTAATAACTTACATTTTAACAAAAACAAAAGCAGTCATAATCGGCAAGTTTTGGTTAATGTTTTCTGTTCAACAGGATGTGACGTAATGAACGTCGTTTCCTTCCAGGACTCAGACCACTACTCAGGTATTCGTACTGGTTTGCTGCAGCGTTTAAATTTTCCGTGAGACACATTCCACCGAGTCGTAGAGAACACGATCGTTTCCTGAAATACAAGATAGATACTCATGTCACTAAAACAATTGTGTCATGTTATTTATTGTTGCTGGTCCACGATCCTCCACCGAGTCGTAGAGAACACGATCAAAGCCCATTTTGTAGTGGAAATTAAGTCCTCTTAGTGGTTCCCAGACCCCAGTCCCCAGTCCCCTGCCTTAAGGAGATCCATTCCTTCGGGCTCGGAGAAGACACTTCCCAGATTTGCCCCCTCCCCTTCAGGCATTTTCATACACCCGTGGTCCTTGTATCGTGTCCCCAAAGCGTTCGAAACCATTACATATATCTACCAGGTAAAACCTCTTATTTGGGGCCGAGATAATCAATATTCGTTCAAGAAAACTTAAAACTACCAATTACATGTACTTTCAATACGACTGTTAGAATCACATAAAAGATGCTATCATAATTTCCCCTATATGTCCTCTAAACTATTTAGAAAACAGCTTTCAGTGCAAGTATTAAAAAATATGATATGGATTATGCCCCTTTGTCATTAATAACTGTCACGAGAGAGAGTTCTTGATAAATAGTTTTATTATCTGATTCACTGACTTCAACTTTCACTGCCACAATTCCACGTCTGTTGGGAGCACGTGCCAGAACTTAATGGCTTGAAACGCAACTATAATTTTATTTCCAAAACGATTGCATATTTTATGACAATATCAAATAACAATGGTTAAGAAAATCACATTAAAATTAAATTCATAGAATCATAGAATAGTAAATCGGTCGAGTAGTTTTCAAATCTACCAATTATTTCAATTACAGCATGTAATAATATTAAAACCAATTATATAGTGCTTCTTGTTTAGCTGATAGGTTATTATAACATTGAGCCATGAAGAAATCACAAAAAGCATGTTATTTATACATATAAGATATGGATCAACTACCCTGTCATACAAATACACCCCCTTAAAGATACAAAACATGTTATTCCTATACCAAGTCATATTCTTTTCAGTGTGACCAGGGATTAGTGCCCGTGAATGTCCTTTAGGCAGTTAATATTTTCAACCACCAGTATTTCGAGTTTTTGGGAAATGTTAAAAGCCTTATCAATCTTGTGATCACACTCAAACTATTTTTAGTATACATGAAAATCAAACGTGTTTCAAAATCCAATCGAACTGTAGTGTTTGTCGCATATTTACAAGGTTGAATGAAGTTCCTCAGTTTAACACATGCTGAAAAGATCTTAAGAGGTTTGAAACTTTACTTAAGGGAGGTCACTATTATGACTCGACAGTTCTCTAAACACACTTCCGATTACAGTGTGGTGATTTCAAATGTAGAGTGGGACATTACAAATAACTATTTCTATATGAAATATATTCATAAACTTAACAGATATAAGGCCATTATAACAACATCATTGTTCAGGGAAATCCTTGTCCCTCTACATACCTCCCTACCCTTGTCACAGATCGGGGGCCTTATTCTCGAAAGCTGAACTTAAGATGATTTTAGTATTTCAGTCATTGGATTGGTCAATCACTAAAATCAATTGTAAGTCAGGTTTTTATTATCCAAATAAATTACATGTACTGTATGTCTTTAAATCTGTATTTTAGTTTACTGAAGTTTTCTAGAATAAGGCCCTGATAGAGCAGCTAACATTTCAGTTGTGTTTGAATTCAATTTGAATTGTACATGTGTATTTAAAAGATAACGATTGAAGATTTATACAATAGATGGATTATTGCCGTGATAGTAAATATTTGTCTAGATCAACTAGCATGTGATCGAAAATAACTTAAAGGGACAGTCTGATTCTTTAGATAAGTTGGGTGATCAAAGTAGTGAAAGCTGTCGGCCATAGCTGGAAAAGCGTGTCCCTTAACTTATCTGAAAGTTCTAATTTAAGCATCATTGATTTTGAAAAGGAAACAATTTAAAAGGTTTACGTAAACCGTTGAAAGTGGCTCTGTGTTGAAAAACTAATTTCCGGATTAGGATAAACTAAGCGCCAAATTATACTAATTATGACCCGTTTTCATTAGCCCACATGGTGCAAACAAGTAGGACGTAAAACTTCATTTCATTTCTACTAAATATGAGGGTTTCAAAAAATAATACCGAGCCATTATAAAGCCAAACACCAAAACTAGGTCAAACTATTTAATTAACAATTAATACACTCCGCATTTTTATTAACCCTTTTAAAACAAAATTAGGGCGATCAAGTAGATACATGGCAATAAATAACATATTTTTAAAATCTTCTTACAATAATTTTCAATGTCTTTCATAATGAAAATTTTGCAAAACTGCACCTTTAAACTCACTTCCTGGTGTTTTGTCCTCTTAATCACTGGTTATATAAGAAACATGAGGAATGTGTCAAGTACATAAGTACGAATTCTGTCTCCCATTGTAGAACAATATATTGGTTCTTCACGTTTGGTTCTGTTAATGTCAGTTGAGAGAGAAAGAAGATGGGTTCCCTTATTTCCATTTAGTAAAATGAAAATGCTAATACTTATATGAATAGAAAGTACAGGTGTTCTAATGACTTGGAAAAATACCAGTTTGTCTCACATAATTAATTCATAATTAGCTAAATTAGAAGAGAATTACCAGCAGAGGTCCAATAAGTGGCCGATCAAGAAAGGTCAAAAAGTCTTTTTTTGTTTATCCAGATTTTACATACATGGACATTTATGATTGGTTAAAACTTTTATTTATATACAATAATGATATGATTAAGAATACATGATAATTCATTATGAACACAAATTAATCAAATAGTTTCCTTAATTTGACATTGAAAAATAAGGATACCCATCTGTAATTAAATTTGATTATAACTTTTTCACAGTCTGAGTTTAAATTTGTTTTCGACCATGCTATATCGAGTGACCGAGAAAAAACGATAACACTTTTCAATTCAAGATTTCTCATAAAGTGTCAAAGATATTATTATAACATAACTTAACATGATTCGTAAGGATTCTAGACATCTCTTCACCAAATTCCAGCTGTAAAGGTTGAACCACTTTGGAATTCCAGCCTTTTTAAAATTCTTAGTTAAAAAATAGAATATCGAAATAAATACTGAAATTATTCTTATATTAATGCTCCATACAGCTCCAATTTTCAGCAAAAATCACCCGAATTTCCTTTTTCCATGACAGGATAGTACCTATCTCTAATTCTGTCTGTCAGTTCCTCCAGCTTATCTCCTATCAAATTTGTCAGCTAGAGAAAACACACTGTAAACCAATTGGTTGTAATCGGGAGTTTTGGGGTCGTTTTTCATTTTTTGTATGAAATACCACAAAGTTTTTTGCTGAAAATGTCGTCCTCATTGGGCATTAGTTCAACGAAAGAGAGGAAATTGCAATATTTACTTTCGGCATTATATTTTTTGACAATGAATTTTAAAATGGCTGGTATTTCAAAATGGTTCAACCTATAAAACTGTTATTAGGTAAAAACAAGATATCTAATATCCTTATAAATATTAGGTCTAAATACGATCTTAGCTTTGATATGTTTTGAAATATCTTTTTATGGGTCACTCGATATATTCTCGAAACGATTTTAGCACTGGATATCCTAGAAACAGTGTTAGAAATTAAGACTAATTTTGATATCCTAGAAACAATGTTAGAGGTTAAGACTCTAGGACATCCTAGAAACAATGTTAGAGGTTAAGACTCTAGGACATCCTAGAAACAATGTTAGAGGTTAAGACTCTAGGACATCCTAGAAACAATGTTAGAGGTTAAGGTCCCTGTGTATCATAGTGCTAAGATCTTTAAGAGAATACTCGGCAATGGTTGTCTAAAAAAATCACAAAGCTATCTATATATTATACAAATTTACACCAGCCTTTGACTAAGACCAACCTAGCTTTGTACATGAATTTTGTCTAATTAATCCCACATAGCTTTGTCCAAATTAAACTACCAAGCTTTGTCTAAAGCCTAGCCTAGCCTTATCCAATGGAAAGTAACCTAATGTAGTATATATATTATCGAAATGAATCTAGCTAGCGTTGTCTAAATGACGTCACCTAGCAGGCCTAGCTCTATATAAAACCACCTGCTTATGTTTCAGACTCGCCCAGATTTGTCTAAAAGAACTCAGCTGTGAAGCCACATAGCTTTGTCTACTGAACCCATCTAACTTAGTATATATTTTCTAAATTATCCCACCTACCCTTGTATATATTAAACCAGCCAGCTTTGTCTAAATAAACTTATCTAGCTTTGTCTAAATTAAATCAAATAGATTAATTTGTCTAAATTGACACTACCCTAAGACCCACCTAGATTTTTACGTATTTTGTCTAAATGAACCTACTTAGTTTTGTATGAACCCACCTGGCTATATATGAACCCACCTTGCTATATATGAACCCTTCTAGCTATATATGAGCCCTTCTAGCTATATCTGAACCTTTCTAGCTATATATGAGCCTACCTAGCTATATATGAACCCTTCTAGCTATATATGATCCCACCTTGCTATATATGAACTCACCTAGCTATATATGAACCCTTCTAGCTATATATGATCCAACCTAGCTATAGATGAACCCACCTAGCTATATATGAACCCTCCTAGCTATATATGATCCCACCTAGCTATATATGAACCCACCTAGCTATATATGAACCCTTCTAGCTGTATATGAACCCACCTAGCTATACCTAGCTATATATGAACCCATCTAGCTATATATGAACCCACCTAGCTATATATGAACCCTTCTAGCTATATAATAATATGAACGTACATAACTAAATATGAACCCACCTAGCTATATATGAACCCTTCTAGCTATATATGAACCCACCAAGCTATATATGTACCCTTCTAGCCATACACAAACCCACCTATATGAACCACCTAGCTAGATATATAAGAACCCACCTAGGTATATTTAAACCCACCTAGCTATATATGAACCCTTATAGCTGTATATGAACCCACCTAGCTATACCTAACTATATATGAACCCACCTAGCTATATATGAACCCACCTAGCTATATATGAACCCTTCTAGCTATATATGAACCCTTCTAGCTATATATGAACCCTTCTAGCTATATAACATTATGAACCCACCTAGCTATATATGAACCCACCTAGCTATATATGAACCCTTCTTACTATATATATGAACCCCCCTATATCGGCCACCTAGCTATATATATATATATAAGAACCCACCTAGCTATATATGAACCCTTCTAGTCATATAACTATCAGAACGCACCTTGCTATATATGAACCAACCTAGCTATATATAACTTCTTTTTTGTAAACAATATTTTATTTCGGATATAAAACGGATCGTTAGGCCGGGGCAGCCACAGAAAGAAAGCCGCTTAACGTGGTATATAAAAACCACCTAGCTTTGTTTCTATATAAATGAACTCACCTAGCTGTAGGAGAATCAGCTTGTGTTAAGATATCGCGAACAGTGAGTAAAGCTTTTGTGTTTGACATTTCATCCAGTAGCCTGAAAATACATCAAAATAATAAGGTGAATTTTCTGATAGAAATACAAATTTGGGTGTTTTAATGTAAAAGAGACAGGTCCGACATCCGTTTGTCCAATCATACCTTAGTCTAACGAAGAATAGGCAGTTTTTTTAGTAAAGATAATCAGTAATAGTGTTCACAGCTCACCATCGAAATTTAGCATCCAAATGCATGGGTTTTATCCGTGTTTGAATGTTAAAGTGACGACTCGCCATTTCTTGAGACTCTACCACATATAGTAAAACATAATACAGAAAGTGAAATTCCCAGTTTGATTATGCGATTTTTCGCACATTTCTAGTTTTCCAAAGACTATTTACATAAATTCAAGACCTAAATCAACCACCGAAATCTGCTCCTTTAATATCAATTATCATTATATTCGTTTTTAAAAAATGTAAAGGATTAAGCAGGCCAATTCGTAAATCAGAAAATAAAAAATAAATTTAAATGAAGACGTTTTAGACCATTGTACACTCAACAATCAAACAACTATTGTCATTATTATTGATTTTTCCAATTAACCTTTTCAAATGAATTAAATACAGAAACAAAACCAAATGATTTTTTTCTGCCTTTTTTTAATCCAATTAATATATCTTTACTATTTCCCTCGAGGTTGTATTCTTTGTTTTAAAAAGGGGGAGACAATCAGGGGTCGAGAAAAACTAGATTCTTATTAAACCTGAAATAATTGTTATTGGTTGATCGTTATTTTCTTTCAAATCTTTTATTTTCTTTTTTTTCTTTGTGTTCCGAGAATATTGCCCATCAATTATTTTCTAGAGATCTAGATTCTGAGATCACTGACGGCGTCAGCCTATTGTCGAAATGGCGAAATATGTGGCAGACTGATTAAATGGGGGGAGGGGGCAACTGTCGAGATTGAGATCCAAAGTATAGAAGCTATAAGTCTCCAGCCCCGATGGAGCCCCTGCATTCTCACACAGATTTTGGGTCGAAAAATTTAAAAAAAAAAATTTTTTAGGTTTGTTAGAAATGTTGTGGGGGTACAATAAGACAATAAGACCTACACAAGCTTGTTAAAAGCTAAATTTATTATTATTATATTATATAAGTAAATACAGTATAGATAAGGTCTATTATTCAACTTATTATAGTTAATACCGTTTATTTGATATACTTCTGATAGATTTACATACTCATATAAGCAGTCTAACATATCGCTTTATGTATATTTCTGGACAAATAAGTTTATAGATTTGGTGGAATTCTCTTTAACTTCCGGTTGTTGACGTCTTCAGAATTGACACGTAGAAGGAACTGACAAAAGCTTTTACTTGTTTACTCGTCATTGATGATGGAAGGGCGGGAAAAGTGTCGAATTGGACAGACATGGCGGGAATGGTACAGAAGTAATGAATTATGGCCAATTAAAGGTAAAATTAGGTGACTTCTAGCCATGATTTTAACACGTTAAGATTGACAGTCGCACGGACTTACGGAGGAGTCGCTAATGGACAAGTTTGACATATATATGATGACGGCTTGTTGTTCTCGGTGAGTATCATATTGCTGACATAGTGGCAGTGTCAGCGCTAACCTCTCTAAACTGAAGGTACTAATAGGGGAAACAGACTTAAAGGAGGGGGGTTGGGGCAATAATTCAAAATGCGGCAAAGGGGAAGCGCAATATACCATGAAACGTCGAAGAAGGCCCTCATCAGCGGGAAGTTTAAAATGACCCTTTTTTCAAACTTATATTTATTGTATCCGAAATGGCTAAATTCAGAAATATTTCTTGCACCCCTACCTCTTTCTCTCTTTAACGAGCATGATGTAAAATATTCATAATTTATAATCTTACCTTTGTGTTCGTCCGTCTGGAGTAAGATTGGGTAAATCGGATCGTTTTCCCGGGCTCATACCGTCACTGAGCCAAGCTTGCGACATCATTTTATTATTGAGTGAAGTCAGCGTACATTGGTGACTGTTGATTCCAAATGCACACGTTCTTTTTCTGAAATACACAAAACATACTAGTTATTGTACACATTGTCAACTCGGAGATTCTGAAAGGGCTAATAAAATTAAGAAGAAAGGTTGAAACCCCTGTCCGAGATAGTTTCAGACTGGCCATTATTTCAGTGATTTATCGAAAGTGGTGGTGCAAGGAATCATTAGGCTAGGGGCGAATAGGGAGCACTGAGGCCACAGAATAATGAATGGGTCAAAGGGAAATTGTGAATGAAAGTGATGTGGGGGTGGGGGGAACATCCTTTTTAAAACGTATAACAATTTCATGGAAAGGAGATATGTAATATGGTCGAAACGTTGTAATGTAAGTGCAAGTATATAACGTTAAAGCCTACAGTACATAAAGAGCATAATTAAAGTAAATATTATTATTTAATCATTATAAAACATTTAGAAGTATCACAGCTCATTCAGAACAACAATTTGTATGGATTAGACTTCTATTTATTTCTTAAAAGGATTAACTTCACTAACTTATTCTACCCTCTTTCATCCTTTAATCCTTGTTTAATTCATTGTTTCATTCATTGCTATTGGATTAGCTTCATTGTGGTTCTGTTATAATCTGCTTTACTACTTCATGGCTTCCCTACCGTTTTTGCTATTTATTCCCACGTGTTGAAACGTAATGTTACTATCAGATTTAACCAATTATCAACAACCAAACCAACAACACAGAATCATTCAATTTTTACCAATCCAACTACCAACTACAAACTAGAATCCACTGGAAGCGAACATTAACTTGTCATCTACCAACCAACCAACGTTATGTTCTTTGTATTTATATGTGTTATACCATAATATATTCCCTGTTACTTTCTGTTATATAACTGCTAGTATGCGTCTATGGTTCCTGCCATTGTACTAAAAAAAAGCGTTTAATGACGTCACTAATCGCAAAATATGCTTTATCACATAAGGCCCTTCGCAATTAGGTACCTCATCAGGCATTTACTTAAAGTGGAATTGTAGGAACCACAGACTTCTGATTGAAAATTGAATTGTGCAAATTGATGCTTACCCGATACACATCGCCAAACATTTGTATGACAGATTTGAACAACATCATTTCATCAAGATCGTTTGGAAAGACGATCGAACATTTTCCAAACAATCTTGAACATGGTCAAACATGAATGATGTTGTTCAATCTGTCATACAAATGTGTAGTCGGGATTTAAGGCTGATTTGTATTAAAAGGGTTCATTAAAAACGTAGTGTACTGTTGCAGCTTTAACTTTGTTTGCAGTGATACTTCTAAATGTTTTATAAGGATTACATAATAATATTTACTTTAATTATGCTCATATCTTTATGTATTGTAGGCTTTAAAGATAGGTTTCCTTACTATTTGATAAATTGGTGTTTCTAATGAATTATCAAGTATTATTAATCAATTCAGTATGTCCTTATTGCATATAATTAAGAGTTTTATCCAATCATGTTTGTCATTCTGGATAAACAATAAAAGACTTCTTGACGTTTCTTGATCGGTCACTCATTGGAATTCTGCTGGTAATTAATTAATTTGGCTAATTATTAAAACTTGCAGATAAGTTAAGGTACACATTTGTCTAAATTTTGGTGCATTGTTTTCAGAAATTTAAGCCAAAACATTTCATTCTATGAAAAAAATCATAATGTCTCTTGAATGAAGAGTAAAATTATTAAGTGTCTAAAAAGACAAAGACAAGGTCTTGTCTAACCTTTCAATATGGTCTGTAACATTTCTATAATGTCTAAACTGACTCGAGATTTTTTACAATAATTATATGTGGTATCAGCTAAGTTGTATAGAATTTACATTGTATTGTTCCTGGCACGTCAATAGGTCAGTGTTAAGAATGACACCTTCTCTTTCATTATAAGTAAACTTTCCCCATAACGTGTTCAGAACTAATTTGGTAATAGTCCTACACATAACGTTCTAGATTCGTTTTAAACAGTTACTTTGTTCCGAGTTTATTTGGATAAAATTTCGTCGGTTCGTTTTTACCCCACACTGGTGAATTATTAATCAAGAAATAAACCTAATCGATAAATGGGTTTGTATGCCATACTTGTACTACATTGTGATATAATACGTGTCTTTGCGTCCAAGAACTATGATCGCTTATCCTATCCCGGTAAAAACTTTCACTTCTTATGATCTTTCAAAGAACTAACAAGTCTTAAAGTGACATTTAGCAATTAGAAGTATGGTATATAGACACAACATTGTGAAATAACAATCACTGGTTTTTTGCATCGTTTCGACGTGTATCCCCGTCGTCCTTTCACACCTAAGGAGTTGTGAACAGTACCAATAAATAGTGAATTAAGGTTTTAAACACACCTTCTGGGTAATAATTAAAATTGAGACCCATGCAGACCTACTAACGAAGTGGGGAGGGGGCGAAATATCTGGATTTGTCCAAATTTTAACATAGATGTGAGATTTTTGCCCCCCTTTCCCCTCAACCCCCTTCCTTTGACTCCGCAATTGCAAGTTCCGATCAAAACCGCAAAACTACACCCGAAGTTAAAAAAAGGAATACCTTGGTAGAAGAATACAACTTAAATTCCTGATCATTGAGTGAAATGAATTTCAATTCAAATGCAACGTTGCGTAATAAAAATTGAAATTCTGATGTGGAATTTAAAGAAATTATTTAATACTCCCAGGACTTGTTAGTAAGTAACAATTTGAGAAAATCTCAGACCTGGTAAAGTGACATCAGTTATCCTTCACACAACTAGTTAATTGGTCACTCGGGGTTTCAGAAGGACAAATCCAATACTGCAGTATAGTTCATTGATAAAACACGCTGATAACAGTCTCTGAGTCACAGAAGCAGTTGCGTTTTGTTCGGAAACATCAGGTGAGATGATTAGAAACGGCACTACACAGAAGGGCCAGCGCAATGATGGCAGACAGATAACTGTATTGACACTTTATTGGGTCGATGTAGCGGCAAAGATAAAAATATGTAATAGTTCGAACGTGTTGAAGATCGGTATATACAGACACAAGGACTATCTTCAGCACGATTTGTCTTTATATGTCCCTCAATCGACAGTTAGCCGCCGGCGTATTTCATTGTGTTTTAACAAATTTCAGCGCTCATCAATGACAACTTAAACCAATTTCCACACATTTCTAGGGTAAATTAAATCGAAATTGAACAGAAATTTGTACCTTTAACCGAAATTTCGTGACTTTCAAGCCCCTTGTTGTTAGCAAATACCGGTTGGCTAAAATCAGAAAAATTTCCGTACCGGTTAATCAATGGTACAGGCAATGGGTTTGAGGTTTCGATTTTCTTCTTCGAGCCTTTATGCCTTAGTTCCCATCCCAGGGTACATTTCTCCCTGAGATTACCAGAAAACACCGTAGGGGTAGCTGAGACCGTAAGCAGACATATGTGCATAAATATTTTAAGCATTTTAGTGTTTTAGAGACGGTACTTACTAGACCGAAATATCGGTCTTCCAGCCTCTGATAGCTCTTTGGACAGATGTCTGGCTGGTGAAGAGACAGAAAAATAGGCCTTGTAAAATGGAGACTTTCCGCATCTCCACAAGTGTGGGATTTTAAACCTATTTAGATACCTCGGATCTCCAAAACCCAGATATATTTGGAAAGATGAATATTTTTGTAGGTTCAGTCATACCATCAATCTCTCCCTACTTCATTTACTTCACGTCTATCATTTTCGGTAAGTTTCTTTTTAACGAAAATGATCTCGTATCAACCATTTAAAACTGCGTGCGCAGCCAAAAGTTCAAAGGTCGGAGTCACGTGATACTAACAAAACAAAAGTTACGGTGATGCCCAACACTATATTTCAGTCATCGTAAAGGTAATTCAATATATCAAAACGCATCTTCAGAGGTTTGGAAAAAACCCATATAACAGGGTATATCTTTTCTGACTCTACTCAAGCCGACAACTGTCAAATTAGCCATCAGGGGCTGGGATAGAGGCAGATGTTTCGGACTAGGTACTTGCTGCTTTAGATGACACTCATACGAAACTACGTATGGTTCTTATATGGAAATAACACTCCAGTAAGAACCACTGTACAGTGTAATAAATAAATACAATGAACGGGTAAACAGCCTGGAGACTTGTAAAAAGGAGAAAATTAGGGTAATTCTAATTCGTTACAACAACGTTATTGAATTTTGACGACATTTATAAATTTATAACTGGAATTATAGATACAGTAGGCTAATAATCATATATCTCTACAAATTAATATTTATAGTCAACCGTGGCTTTGTGTTTATTGGGATATATCGTCGATCGTATAGCTTCAGACAACTGAGAGTTTCACGCTATGCTATCATCAGACAACTGAGAGTTTCACGCTATGCTATCTTCAGACAACTGAGAGTTTCACGCTATGCTATCTTCAGACAACTGAGAGTTTCACGCTATGCTATCTTCAGACGATACATAGATTTATTTGTAATGGATATGTAAATGAGGTGACGTCACGAAATTAGGTATCGAAAATTATCGCGAGATCTCATCATATTTGCATTTTAAGTCCATTCTCTGTTGAATATATTATGTACAGATGCAAGAGTGATGTGTTTAGATTGAAATGGCAAATGTCACGTATAAAATATGAAGGTAAAGATGTATGACAAATGTTTTAGTAATGTGTCAAGAATTATGATTGAACAGAGAACAATTGAACATTCTACATTTTTTTGAAATTGTTTCTTTTAACAATAAACATTAAACATTTAACTTTTGACATAAAACATTTTCATATTTTATGTGTATTAGCAGTATTTGACATTTGGCATTATATATTAGAGATAAGGTATATTACAATCGGTATATTTTTCGTAGAGGAATATTTTTTACATAGACTGACAAGAAATAAGTAGGCTACATTACATTCAATATAATATATTTCTACGGGAATCACAGACGTTTGATTGAAAGTGGAAGGGTGCAAATTGATGCTATTAGTGTTCCCGATACACATAAAAATTTCAGAAAAACCTCTTAATAATCCCGTTAACTATTATGGTGGTAGGACCACTTTAAACTTGTATATAGATTACTTCTACTTACTGTAAACGCTGGTATTCATCGTCCAGATTCTTTAATGTTTCTTGTAAACTGTCGGTGTTAATATTATTTCTTGTGTCTCTCTTCATTAGAAATCTGGAAAAAAAAATCATCGAAGTATTCTTAAAAATATTCCTCCTGAATTCAGCGATTAGTCGGCTGTGATCGGGTATGACTGGACTGATAAAGACTACATCTTAGATTGAGCCTGGCGTCAGGCATGACTAAATGACCTACCACCCAAAATACGGCACTGCATTTTGTTGCAGATTGTACCGATATTACCAGAATCATCATTTCAAGCTTCACACTCTTCAGGTCCAACATAAAAGATGCTAGTTTTGAAATAAGTATTACCCCTATACCCAACCCCCTCTCCCTCCCCTTTCTGGTTGGGTTCCTTAAAAATGAAATGAGATGGATTTTTTAGGTCCTACTTTACTGCACCATGTGGGCTATTGATGATGGGCAACGCCAAACAGGGTACAATGTGGGAAATTTTTCAAGGACAGCCGCATTAGCCTGCTCTTTTTCGATTACCAACTGTCGAGGGATTCCTCGGAGATGGAGATAAAGGTGAATGTGCAGTAATAGCGTAACATCATTTAATATCTTGAACACTAAGAACTTGAGCTTGTGAGGCAGTTTTATGCCGATTCCAATGGTGTTCTTTATAACTTTAAAAATCAGAGTAAGGTTCAATATCAGGAAAGACATTTGACCGCTGTAAGTTCCTCCAAGATAGAACCAGTGGTTTTATTTCTTCGACCTCCTTAAACCAAAAATAAAACCAAAATAACCCGAACAAAATTTCCCAGGAGGCTATCGTTTATAAATAATGACGTCATTAAACACGGCCGACCACAGCATCAAGACATCGTCTCAAACTAAGATGTAGTCTTTGTCGCTCTAGTCAATGTCACTGAATGAATCAAAAGAAATGTTAAGACTGGAAATACGAGACTAGTCAAATGTAGGCAGTTTTATTGGTAGAATAAACGAAACTAATAATGTTTCAATTCGCCAGATTCTTGCAGACGTCGTAATTAATTTTAGATTACCAATTTTGTTGAAATGTCTGAATGAGGTGGAAGAAGGCCATATTTACAGAATGGAGTCGAAATGAAGTAAATCTGTCGTTAGAAAGAAAAGCTTTGTTTATTTGTCGGGTCGCCATTGAGAGAAGGAGATCTATAGCCAAATATTGCCCATTTCAAATCAAAATTTGTCTATAAAACCGAGCATTTTCTTTGTCCAAAGCTAAATGAAATTTCAAACCAAACCAAATGGAAATGGAAATTCCGTCAAAGTGATGTGTCGATATGACAGTTTGCTCGATTATAGATGGGATGACTCTTTCATGGTTAAATTTGAATCAATGAATGACATGTCTGTTAGAACTCTTATTAACTCTGCTTTTCAAAATTCCGTCATTTCAAAGAACTTTGATCAGACATCACTAATATCACACGACTGTGTCGCGCCCACCTAACTGATAGAATATTACTCAATAGCGGGAAACCGCCTTGGATCTTAAGTATGTGTTCAACTACTTAGCAGTATGCGAAAAGATAGAAGTGAGCTACCATTACATTCAGTCCAACTAGCTAGCAGATTGTGACATGATAACAGTGAGACATCATTACATTCAGTCCAACTAGCTAGCAGATTGTAACACGATAACAGTGAGACATCATTACATTCTGTCTAATTAGCTAGCATATTGTAACACGATAACAGTGAGACATCATTACATTCAGTCCAACTAGCTAGCAGACTGTAACACGATAACAGTGAGACATCATTACATTCAGTCCAACTAGCTAGCAGATTGTGACATGATAACAGTGAGACATCATTACATTCAGTCCAACTAGCTAGCAGATTGTGACATGATAACAGTGATACAACATTACATTCTGTCCAACTAGCTAGCAGATTATAACACGATAACAGTGAGACATCATTACATTCAGTCCAACTAGCTAGGAGATTGTGACATGATAACAGTGAGACATCATTACATTCTGTCCAACTAGCTAGCAGATTGTGACATGATAACAGTGAGACATCATTACATACGGTCTAATTAGCTAGCATATTGTAACACGATAACAGTGAGACATCATTACATTCTGTCCAACTAGCAAGCAGATTGTGACATGATAACAGTGAGACATCATTACATACGGTCTAATTAGCTAGCATATTGTAACACGATAACAGTGAGACATCATTACATTCTGTCCAACTAGCTAGCAGATTGTGACATGATAACAGTGAGACATCATTACATACGGTCTAATTAGCTAGCATATTGTAACACGATAACAGTGAGACATCATTACATTCAGTCCAACTAGCTAGCAGATTGTGACATGATAACAGTGAGACATCATTACATTCTATCCAACTAGCTAGCATATTGTAACACGATAACAGTGAGACATCATTACATTCTGTCCAACTAACTAGCATATTGTAACACGATAACAGTGAGACATCATTACATTCTGTCGAACTAGCTAGCAGATTGTAACACTATAGCAGTGAGACATCATTACATTCTGTCCAACCAGCTAGTAGATTGTGACACGATAACAGTGAGTCACCATTACATCCTATCTAACTAGCTAAAAGACGATAACAGTGAACTACCATTGATCTAAACTATGGTGTCCATCTAACTAGCAATACTCAAGAAATACTCAATAACCTATTTTGTTCAATTAGCTAGCAGATTGTGACACGATAACAGTGAGACACCATTACATACAGTCTAACTTGCTAGCAGATTGTCACACGATAGCAGTGGCTTCCACTGAACTTCTTTGTCCAGCTATTGATGCGCAATTCATCTAATAAATTTTGTCCTGCTAGCATGCAGAATGGAGCAGAACCATTGACCTGCAGAAATAATCATATAATACAACAGAACCATCCCCTACCCTCAACACCCAATCCCCCCCCTCCCCTAATCTCTCCTTTCATTTCAAGCCTTTGACCTACAGTGTACAGTGTAAATCTATAAGACTATATAATAGTATTATGATAATTAAATCGTCCGTTACATTATCCAAGTAAATTCATCAAGTTAATCGTGACCTACTCAGACGTCATTCTCATTTTTTATATCATTATTCCAACTTTAATATCCCTTTAACCTTTACACGGACAGATTTACACTTTTACTACCAGTTGCTATAGATTTCATAAGCTAATTTTCAGTCTAGTCTAAAGTATTCTTGCCCATCTTGCATCATGCCTTAATGAGATACGAGGTACGATTAGTATGATCTTAAAGGGATTGTAAAGAGGTTTTCGAAAATTTGTATGCTTATCGGAGACACTGATAGTCTCAATTTGCGTTCATTGCAATGTTCAATCACGTCTGTGGTTTCTGCAATTCCGTTAAAACTAAGTGTTTGGTGAAGTCACTAATCGCAAAGAGCCTTTTGTGATAAAGCATATTTAGCGATTAGTGACCTTATTTAACGTACGGGATGTTACTCGATGCAGACACGATTGGCTTTTTCCACTGCATCATAAATCCCGCACCGTAGAATGCAACGGATACAGTACCTCGTCTACTTCTTTTCTATTCTTTAGAGTTATTGGTGTCACCGCATTGTCCTATTCTATATGAAAAATATATTTTAGCCTTCTTGTGACTTCTTGTGACTTCTTGTGACTTATATACTAGTAGAGGGTCAAATTGTCAACGCATACTTCACAACATCCGTTTGGTTTGTGACCCTACCTTACTTATCAGAATCCAGACTAAATGTTAGCTTTGTCCATCAACTGTCACTTTAAACACTTTCTTTAACATTCAATACGCGATCTTTTGGACGAGAAAAAAGTGAGAACGTGTGTGCTACAGTTAAAGATGGGTTTCCTTATTTTTTAGTGTCAAATTAAGCAAACTATTTGATTAATTTGTGTTTCTTATGAATTATCATGTGTTCTTAATCATATCATTATGTTCTTATTGGATGTAATTAAATGTTTTAGCCAATCATAAATGTTTATGTATGTACAGTCTTGATAAACAAAAAAGACTTTTTGACCTTTCTTGATCGGTCACTCATTGGAATTCTGCCCTGATTTAGCTAATTATGAATTAATTATGGACATGTGAGACAAACTGGTATTTTTCCAAGCCATTAGAACACCTCTACTTTCTATTCATATAAGTATTGGCATTTTCATTTTACTAAATAAAAATAAGGGAACCCATCTTTAAATAAAGTAACAAAATTGGTAAATTTACCTACCTGAAATCTGTTCGACAATAAACAGTAGTGGTTAAATAAAATAAACATATTGAAACGGTGACATAGAGCGGTGTCGTGCTGATCATTCTACTTTCGGTTTTCTCGGTCTGAAAATAGAAACAGATTTTATAATTAGATACATAATAATCATCTGATTATTTGTCATGAACAGAAACTCATCTATTGTGACCTGAACCAGAGCTTTTAAGAGACTATGCTCTCATTACTATCGTACACCTAATTTCAATTCTGGCAAATTTTGATTCGCAGATGGTTGTGATAATTTCGGGGTCATTTTGAAATGAAATGAAAATGAAATGAATGGAGTTTTACGTCCTTTGGGTCATTTTGATTCGCGAACTGTGATGCTAAATCTCTTAAAGAGGCATTATGTTATTTTCGTAGGTAAAACAAAATAAATATGGCCACCTCTACCTAACCCTTACAATCTTGAAAATCAAAGTGGTTTCATGCTTAAAAAAACTCAAAACCTAGCGTACCCATTGTGTGCTATCTTATCCATAACGTTGTTAGCAGCCAGTGAGAACACGCAAGGTCACGGTGCAAAAAGCCAGTGCGTTTTATTATAATATTTATCTCTATGGTAGGAGCTGATTGTAAAAAGGTCTTATCGTTTAGTAGGAAATTGATTATTATTAGTTTTTATTCTGTATATCAATGTTCCTGTAATTCCTCTGGAATAGATTTATCTGGTAGAATATTAAATTGGGTCAAGTGATGATATTTTGACCTGTCCAGTGACCTTCCAGAGTAAAATGGCCTGTCCAGGGGTAATACAATCATTGCTGTTGAATATCAGAGTAGTAATTCAATGATTTCCCTTTACTACCAGTTGGTGACTCGGCGAGTTTCGCAATCTTAAGGTCTAAGATTTAAGTTCAAGTTTTCCTCTTGTTAGTTATGCAAGGTGAAAGAGCTGACGATGTTTTATGTGACAATAACAGTAGGTTTCTATCACTGTCTTCTTCTCAAATATAAAGTTTTAAGGATTCATGTATCATTTTATGCCGGAAATTTTTTGAAAGCAACTTCCTCAAAATTTGAGTACAAAGCCCCAAATATGGATTTCATTTTCACCAATCGAATAAACAATCATCTTCAAGAGCATGCCTCGCGTTAAGTGTTTAGTGCAAGCTTTGATCGCCACGGGTTTCAAAAAATATCTGAGAAACTTGTCATAAACACAGAATTTCATTTTCGTCAATCGGTTCGCGGATCAACTCGTGGATTTTTCAACCGGAAACTGTCCTTTTAAATCAAAATATTCAATTCCGTTGATGACAAGATGGTTTTTGTTGTAACACCTTATTTCAATTTAAAATATTACTTAATAATTTGCTTGACTTAGTTAACTAATAGTGCGATTTGATTGGTTGGTAGACGACTAACGGTTGGCTCGGTTGTTTAATAAAGCGTTATGATTGGTTTATTTAAATCAGTGATAGATCAAGTTGAAGATGTTCAGCTGAGTTGAATCCGAGTGAGAAATCAATAGGAGAATTACGACAACCAATTTACGGCTCGTAAATACACAGCCTCTTAAAACACACTCTTTTATAGGTACTGGATAATTTGACGTTCATTGTCTAGTTAACCGAGTCTACTGTTATTAAGTGTTTATCTTTTATGTTTATCGAATGACTGGATAACGGAGTCTTCACATGTGTATTAAAAGGGATTAGATTAATCCCATGTAAGCCTCGATCTCGTTTTTACGATAAGTTGTTTTCCGTGTCAGTAAAGTCAATCTAATTATTTTTATAAACTGCTCTTTAACTCTGGAAGCCATGAATTTACCCCACAACGAGTTTAAAAACAACTTGAAAGTAAATCGCAATTCAAATTTTTACTATATCTTCAAAAAACACTACAATTGAAATTCCCGAAAGAAAATTTCCTTTTTGATCTGAAAATTTCCAAATTAGACTAACATGTTATTCTACATAACAAAACACACAGTCGAAAATTGAAAATAAGCCATGCAGATTTACAGAACTAGTCTCCATTATTCTGGACAATATTCAAATATGATAAAGGTAAATGTTACAACTGAGTTCTAACTGGGCATAAAGCATTCAATCTTTCGAGGAAGCAGGCCTCTCCGGATTTATTACTTGCCCCTCCGAACGATCAAGTCTGGCTACGGACCTTGTTGAATTGAAGTCGACAATCTTGTACACACGCACAACTTACGATTCGTATACGGCCACGAACGATTGCCGAAGGGGCATGTACGACCGTATAGGAATTGTGCGTGTATTCGTAACAAGATAATTTGAATCTAGCGTCTATACGGTCATTTTTATGGTCGGATTTCAGTTATTGTAGACAGATTTATTATATCTTTAACATCCTACAGGTCGGCTCCTCATTTTTATCAATGTCGATCTACTAGAGCGCATGCCCAACTTACTATAGAATACGGCCGCTAACACGAATTTTTGAATTTCACGTGTATTCGTAAGATGATGAGTTCAGTAATAGTAGATAATGTCGTAGTATCATTTACACCCTCTAGGTCGACTTCCCATTGATATATTGAGCGCATGTACAACTTATAACTATATAGTTTACAGCCACTAAAACGGATTTGAATTTCGCGTGTATGCGTTAGATGATTTGAATCTACCGTCCATACAATATGATATCAGTGATTGTGGACAATTTGATCATATCCTTAACATCCTACAGATCGGCTCCCCAAAATGATTAGTGTCGACCTAGAGCGCATGGACAACTTATAACTATATATAGTATACGGCCGCTAAAACGGATATGAATTTCGCCTCCATTCGTAACATATGAGTTGAGTATACCTTCCATACAATCTGACAATCTCAGTGATAAGAAAATGTCATAATATCCTTTACATCCTCTAGGTCGGCTCCCCATTTTCATTCATATAAATCAATATATAAGTTGTATACTATAATAAATACATAGTTACTTTTATTTCTTTAAACAACTTGTGGTTTGTGTTTACACGACTAATTAAAAATATTTCCAGTATTCCAATGCACTGACTGGCCTCCCAATGGTCAACATGAACACTAGGACGGAACAATTGAACATTAAGTTATTATTGTAAGGTACTGAAGCTATTGTTGGAATTGTAAATCGTTACAGGACAAGACAACCACAAGGCTAATGAAAAAATAAAACTGACACGACAGAGTTAGGGTAGGGTCCGTACGGAATTAACACATTAAGAAACTTGAAGGTGTTTATTCGATTTGAGCTCCACTAACATTGGGACTGCTGCCACTACCGAGGCAGGTCGTGCTAATCCTTCCAGAACACCAAATGTCCTTTCCTATAACTAATATTGTATATTATCTTGTATATTTGTTGCTATGGATACTATATTAAAAAATCTGTCTATGGTAGCCATGAATGAAAAAATTCAGAAAGTCTTTTTCAGATTTTTAACTACCTTTATGAATGATAATATTTTACGGTGGCGTCAAAGTGGTACTTAAATCAACTATTTTAAAATAATTACAATGTATACTGTACTGAAGTACCTGTTCACAGCCGCCTTTCTCATGTTCTCTACAATTTTATTATAGTTTCTATTGCTAGTTTACCTGACATTAATAGACTCCGTATTGGAGAGAGCATGTTTCACACTACTTTGATGATCTTGACTGTACACAGTGGCGGCACAGGGGAAACATTTTGAAATAGAAATAAAAATATTAAAACAGAATCTGAAACATATTTTTTACGTGGAAGTATGGGCAAATTCCCATAGTTTGATAAAACTTCAGAATAATCCGAAATCAATCCTTAAATTGGACAGTTTTTAAAAATACACAAACAGGTAAATAAAACAAATATTACTCCATCTATTAACCGAAATGGAAAAACCAAGAATTATTAAAGCAATACAAGGCTTACAAAATATGACAAATCTGTATACAAAAAGGAAGTATGAAAAGTTGTTGTTGTTTCGATGTAAGAGCAAACATACCCACCCCCTCTGCAAACCCCACCCCACTACCTTTAAAGAGTATTTTATAAATTCTAAAACATAAAAAAAAATCCATCACATTCTCTTTTAAAAGTGCATCTACGATTTTGTAAAGTAACTAATCTATCGCACGCCCTTTCCGAAGTTTTTTATTTTCTAATCCATCTGTCTAATCATACTCCGCATTTTTAGTATCTGCGTTTGGAAGTTTAAATGACGACTCGTCTTTTCTTAAGCCTCAGCCATTTATAGAAAAGACATGCATTGTATCTAGAAATAGAAAGTGAAATATCTATAGCTTGACGTATATTTGAAGGGATTGTGCGATTTAGTGCAGTTCTAGTACCAATGAAGACTATTTACATATATTCAATACCATGGCCTTTAAGTTATTTTTCATAATTTTTTACACTAATCATACTCCCACTTTAACTACTGATATTACACCAGGCATCACGTGAATTTTCTTCCAAGATGGCGTGAGTAGTAACAATCCTAGTGGAGAGAAGATATGACTGTAGGCTAGTTGACATTTATAGGAAATTAGTTAAACAAACAATGCTGTAAGGAATGGAGACGAGGTGCGTAGGGTTCGAATCTAAAGGTTATAAAGTCTCTATTATCTACAGGCCTATCACTGTTAACTATGACTATATGTAGCAGCCTTGTATAGCCTAACCTTTCTGTGAAACACCCGAGATAAAAAATATACCAATGTAGAGGTAACGCAGTAATAAACGCAGGTGATATAGCTTACACGCCCTATTTATTCAAGGACGAGCAATCTGATTGACATACAAATTAGGAGCCTTATTAAATGTTCCGAGTCACTAAAATTGATTTTAAATTTCGTTTTGTTATCCAATCGAATTACTGTATTTCAAAATTGTGATGCATCTCATGTTGTGGGCCATTAAATACCAATCAAATTTACTATTCAGTAAAGCCTCAGCCTCACTGATGATCTGCGATTGGGAAATGTGATGCCTTTTGATGGATAGCGACAGCATTGTAGAAAAGGTGGAGCATATTTCTTTCACCAGTGGTTCGCAAAGCCAGTGGGACTGAGGCTTAAAAGAGGAGTTATGTGATATATTTAATCGGATCTAAATTGACGTTATTCTGTCCTGTTCAATTCTCGAACATACACAAGTTCAAAGGCTAAGAATTTTGAAGAAACCTGGTCCAGAAGCTTAAATACAACTCTCAATATTTGATATTCATAATCCATGAAGATCTTATTAGTACCCTGTACACAAGAAATCAATCGAAAATTTTAATTCCCGATTCAGTTAATCTTTCCTGGTTTTTCTTGGAGTTGAATTAAAACAGATCAAAGAGAAGAGGATGAAGTTGGGAACAAAACACGATCATCCGGATCATATTAATCAGATTTTTCTAATCAAATTCAACCATTTCTCTTCACAACATTGCCTGTATGAGCATGTGAAACGTTGAGTTAATAAATATTAGAAATAGTATATCTATATATCTAGTGATTCTCTATAATATTTGATAACACCGTCTGTATGAACATGTGAAGTGTTGAGTTAATAAATGTTAGAAATAGTATATCTATATATCTAGTGATTCTTTATAATATTTGATAACACTGTCTGTATGAACACGTGAAACGTTGAGTTAATAAATATTAGAAATAGTATATCTATATATCTAGTGATTCTTTATAATATTTGATAACACTGTCTGTATGAACATGTGAAACGTTGAGTTAATAAATGTTAGAAATAGTATATCTATATATCTAGTGATTCTTTATAATATTTTTATAACACTGTCTGTATGAACATGTGAAACGTTGAGTTAATAAATGTTAGAAATAGTATATCTATATATCTAGTGATTCTCTATAATATTTGATAACACTGTCTGTATGAACATGTGAAATGTTGAGTTAATAAATGTTAGAAATAGTATATCTATATATCTAGTGATTCTCTATAATATTTGATAACACTGTCTGTATGAACATGTGAAACGTTGAGTTAATAAATGTTAGAAATAGTATATCTATATATCTAGTGATTCTTTATAATATTTGATAACACTGTCTGTATGAGCATGTGAAACGTTGAGTTAATAAATGTTAGAAATAGTATATCTATATATCTAGTGATTCTTTATAATATTTGATAACACTGTCTGTATGAACATGTGAAACATTGAGTTAATAAATGTTAGAAATAGTATATCTATATATCTAGTGATTCTTTATAATGTTTGATAACACTGTCTGTATGAACATGTGAAACGTTGAGTTAATAAATGTTAGAAATAGTTTATCTATATATCTAGTGATTCTTTATAATATTTGATAACACTGTCTGTATGAGCATGTGAAACATAGAATCAATAAATAGTATATCCATAGATCTATCTTTGTGCTTGTATCTATGCACACTTCTACATGTCTTAAAGGCTGTTCAATTCATCCAGTTTAGGGTCCTTTAACTAAGAGGTTTTCTAAATTTTTTATGTGTTTCGGGGATACTGATAGCATCCATTTGCACCATTCTAATTTTCAATCTGTGGTTCCTGCAATTCCACTAAAACTAAGTGTTTGACGTCATTAATCGCGAAGGGCATTGGCGGTAGAATTGTACGAATTACAGACAAATGATTGAAAATTGGAATGGTGTGAAATGATGCTATCAGTGTACCCTATACACATAAAAATTTAGAACACCTCTTTTCAATCCCTTTAACACAAACAATAGCCAAAACAAAAACAATAATGAATAAACGAGTCAATTTTCGTTGGCCATTGTTCACTAAGTTTCGATTGCTTGTAAAAAGGGGAGGTAATTCAATAATTTGAATAATAAAAAGTTTCTATCAAAAGTCGGCAAGAAGAAAGAGAAATGTATTTAAATGAGAAACTAATTAGTATGCAGAAACAATGGAAGATTCGAAGAAATAAAAATAGCTTGTATAAGAGGCAATAAATAGTAAATTTTCTTATGGTTCTACCTCCTTTGATGTATTTTTCATTATGATGTGGGTGTGATACTTAGTCGACAAGTTAGACTGTTTATTCTGTTATTGACTTAAAAGATATTTAGTAATTTGTGACCTGATTCATACAAGAATTCCAGTTGACTATTCTCTAGAATATAACCCCGAGTTAGGTGATGTCTGGTGTGTCCATAAACAGTCAATATTACAACAGTGGACCACTCTCTGGAATATAACCCAGAGTTAGGCGATGTCTGGTGTTTCTATAAACAGACAATAGTACAACAGTGGACCACTCTCTAGAATATAACCCCGAGTTAGGTGATGTCTGGTGTGTCAGACAATAGTACAACAGTGGACCACCCTCTAGAATATAACCCCGAGTTAGGTGATGTCTGGTGTGTCAGACAATAGTACAACAGTGGACCACTCTCTAGAATATAACCCCCAGTTAGGTGATATCTGGAGTTTCTATAAACAGACAACAGCACAACAGTGGATCACTCTCTAGAATATAACCCGAGTTAGGTGATGTCTGGTGTTTCTATAACAGACAATAGTACAACAGTGGACCCCTCTGTTATCTCGACCTATGCTGGCATTGAACCATGGACCTTCAGGTTAGCGAGCAAGCGTCTTACTCACAGAGCCACGGCGGCTCCCTCCCACCACTTAGAATCTAACTAAAGTGTTGTTTATGTGATTTGTCTGTAGAGGCATGTCGCCCTTCGGCCATAAAAATTTCTTCAACGATCAGAGTCCACTTGATTTATCTTTAAGTGGCTTGTTAATTTTCCATAAAACATAAAAGTTGAAGCAATGGAACAATGGACACATTGAGAACTGATTAAATTTACATAAAACTAATTAATTTACGTTCCACAACATGGCCAATTGTTAGTTGTTAACGCAGGGTGCGACTAAACACCTCACGAGACCCGAAGATTCCACAAGAGTGAGACTAAATACCGCATGTGGTGTTATTATTTCACATGTATATAAACACCGCATTTCTTATTTGTATTTTTGAATAAGGTCAATCCGCAATTGCAAACGTTTTGGAATCTGAAACTATTTGGTGTATTGGGAAAAAATGGACATTTAACGTCGGTTTTAACCCCGAAAAAAAAATTTCCCATTAGAAAAATGCCACAAGACGAATAACATTCCCAGAGCCAAAATCAACATGGGAGTGATAAAGCACCCCATGCTGTCAAATTACATCGCATTTTCTGCAATAAATATGTAGATATTCTAGACTGAAACATGTTATTATTTGCATATATTCTAATGATTAGGTCTAAAAGCTGTTTAGGGAGTGATTTAACACCGCAAATATCCCAAATCAAACGCAACTGACAATGAATATATGACAAGAGGTGTCCATATTGAACTTTTTACTGACCCTTGTCACATTCCAGGTCAAAGCCAAGAAAGGAAGGGCATAAATACACCTTGAACAACATAAAGTATTTAGGGTTCATGTAACCTTATAGCACTCATGGTTTCACTGAATGACAAAGGTAAAGCGTTCAGTTGTCTGCTACAGCCGCTGTCTCCTACATAAAGTAAAAAAAGTAGTAATATGTGGAAAGAATTGACCAATCTCTAGATAACTGATGTTAATAGCCTACACCAAAATCAACCCAGAGTTGGCGATGCCTTGTGTCCCTTTTCTGTAAACAGACAATAAAACAACAGTGTTCCAATCTCTAGAATATAATCCAGAGTTAGACGATGCCTTATGTTTCTATACACATACGATAGTACACTGAACATAACCCATAGTAACATTATGTCAGGTATTGTTTTAAAAACAGACAATAATACAACAGTTGTTAACAGTTTTTGACATTTGGCAAGCCTAAATAACCTCCTTATATTACAAAATACATTCCACACGGACAGTACGGATACAACTCTCTGTGTGTCGTTCTAAGTAATGTTCTGTATCAGTTCTTACTCACTAGAGGATGTCTAATTAGTTTCTAAGTAACGAAATTAGTCAATTAATTTATCAAAGTTCAACTGGCCTCCTACGTGAAAAATGTGACAAGTTTCATAATTTTGCATTTCT